TTATATACAAATTCGGCGGGCAATTTTTTCACATATTACCTAGCTGTCAGGCAAAGTAATTTTTATCTTAACATTAAAAATACTTTTGTGTATCAGAAAATTTCGAACTTTCATATGCGAAATTTTTATAACGTCCAAATAGTTACCAAACGTTTCCTAAGAGAAAACTTTATATTTTATCTCTTGTCTTCAGTAATCAATTTCTGTTCGGGTCCGGAAAATTTGAACGATCTCGCAACCACCATAAAAAATTATGAAATAAGAATAAATTATGCATCTTTCATTCTGGAATGAACACAAAGAGATTTAAATTGATAGTTATTGGACGAGCATAAGGACGTATTTGTTGTGTAAATATAAGGTAGTGACAGTACTTACTTCTATTGTCTTTTAAGTAAAGGTTTCTAATAGTAGTTCAGTACAGTTTCCATCTATTGAGAAATAACTTAACTTCCAAGTATTTCTTTCTTAATTTTTTCTCCATCTATTGAGAGATAACTTAACTTCCACATATTTTTTCTTAATCTTTTCTCCATCTATTGAGTCTAAACGAAACAAACGATTAGTGGCTCCCCAGTAGCTCAGCGGTAGGTATGATGGCTTATGACGCTAAAAACTGGGTTTCGATACAGAACAGATAGTTCAATGTGTAATAATGCTTGGGGACGGCTTGAGTGGGTAATGAAGAAACGATAATATAAGTTTAACATAACAGCAAATGTACAACGTTTCGTTTCGACAAGATTTTGTTAACATCAGGTACAAGTAGTTTACACTGACACAGATATATATATACAGTATGGAACAAAGAAGTCACATAACCGGATATTGTTGCACGACTTAGACGAAATGTCTTGACACCCCAGGGTGTTGGTTTAGAGTAGGGATGTTTTGTTCAATTAAGATGGATTCCTTGATTTTTCGTTTGTTTATGTTTGGTTCTACAATATCCGGTCATGTGACTTCTTTGTTTCATACTATATATATATATATATACATATCTGTATCAGTGTAAACTACTTGTACCTGATGATGACAAAACCTTGTCGAAACGTTGTACACTTGCTGTTATGTTAAACTTGTTTTAAAGTTTTTCTTCATTGCCCATTCAAGCCGTCTCCAAACATTATTAGTCTCCAAGTGGATTCCTCGTCATCAAATGTGAATTCATTGTGTAGCTTTGTGCTTAACTACAAACAAACAAATCGCTTATTGGATATTCGAAACCTGAACGTTTTTGCTTCTTTCTATAGTACCGGATTTATTAATAAATTATGTAGTATTGCTTAGAACAAGAGGAAATCTGTAATTAGATCACAAATTGGCCAAGAGATGGAGCTACGAGCTAAAAGTTTGTATTTAAAAAAAAAAAAAACAACTAACAACTCAGAGCCATTTTATGAGTCTAAAAATGTTCACAAGTGGCAAAGCGGCATGTCTGCCGAATTCCAATGCTAGAAACCGGCTTTCGATAACCGCGGTGGCCAGAGCACAGATAGCCCATTATGTAGCTTTGTGCTTAATTTCAAATAAACAAATTCTTTGAAAAATAAATATTACAAATTTGCTTTCCTGTACTAGTACATTTCTAAGCAAATCTTCATGGTTTTTTTTGTGTTCTGGTAATAACTTACCTTAAACATTAGTAACCATCATTCACTTTGTATTTAAGTAACAATGTTATTACCAATTTCTACGCTGTAACACCTATCATAAACGTATTTATAGTTCGTTAGTATGATCAAATACAAAACATTTCTTCATTATATTAATTATTTATCTCTTTATTCCTTTTAAACAAGAATACCTTCTTCATTGTGGTCTAATTGTTAATGTAAGATGACACCCATTGTCTCTTATCTTTGCATGGGACACCTACGTTTAAGAAACTGAAGTACTCCTGAATATAATATATTAAACGACGTCGACCCCAGTTGTTCGTGGCGAGTACAGCACAGATAGCCAATTGTATAGGTTTGTGTTTAACACAAGCAAACAAATTGAACGACATCATATTAAAAAGTCACCAAAGATATGGCTCCACATTCATGTTTCGACAATACATTGGTCCAGCATATCTTGTTATTATATAAAAGCTATATAAAATATGTATTATATAAAAATGAATTTAATTATATCTATGTGATTAATATTTTTAATATTCTATGTTGTTTATATAACAAGCGATTTAGACAACAATAGATAACGAAATATGTCACTACTTCGATCTTACCCAGTGGAAGAAACAGGCAAATATCAAATATAGTAATACCAGTTGCTCTGAGGACTGTGCTATATTCCAACAGCCAGTTAACCAAAGATACGCTTTGAAAGTAACTAAAAAACACGCGCTTATAATGGGGGATTCGTAATTTTGAAGTGAAATCACTATTATCTACCAGGCAGCCACATTAATAAGTAGAGTAGCCAGTTATTATGTTTTAGTGGGAGAAATGCTGCTAGAATAAGCAAGATCTTTAGAGATCCAGTAAAGATATTGCCTTAATTTTTCTATATATTTATTTCGTTTTCAACGTAGACTAGGTAAAGTGAAGACCAAACCAAATGTTCTAGTTTTTGTCGCTATTTCACTTCATCAACACTCCCTTACAGTATTAGCAAAGCATTGGGTTCACTAGCACCAAATATTTTATGCCTAATTGTCGATGTTTAGGCACCTGTTGGAATTTGTATTGAGATGTAATGGTATTGCGTTATTTATAAACAATGGAAAAGTAAAGGATTAACTTAATGTGTTTCCTTGCGTGTTTGTTTAGGTTACTGAAGTGATTGTCCTTAAACTTAATGCTGTAAATGTTGTTCACTTTTGAACTTGTATAAACGTAAAAATACTACTGTGCAATTAGTCAATAGACATATTGGGTTTCCATGTGAGCATACACGCACGGACTAATTGACATACATTGTTCTTTTATTTGCATAGATTTATGTATAAGATATATCATTGGAAGTGTTCAGGTTTTAATAATAATTACCTTGACTTTTACCTCCTCTCTTTTCTAACATTATGCCAATTATATTCATAGACGGACCTACTAAGCTTCTACCTTGAAATATTTTCTGTGATTGCAAAAATATCTTGATGCAAGCACGCAATACTCCTCATTGATGTCTTAATCACTCTTGCTTCACACTAAAGCAAGGTATGAGAATTACTTGGTATAATTAGTAATTCAACCAGGTCATAAACACAATCATTGGTTCGTTTGCTCACCCCCCTCTCCTGAAAGTTATTTTTGGCTATAGCACTAATAATGTATATTTAAGCTTTTTACTTTTACTGTGAAAACGAGGTTCTTTGAGTGCAAAATTATGAATAATTTTCCATCGGAATTAATAAATGGATATTTTACATTCTTCACTGTTCTATTTTAAGTTTTTATCGTTGTTGTTGTTGTTTTTCGAAAGTAATCTGGTTCTAAAGAAATTTTATTTCAGGTTTATCATGACCTTCAAGATCATAAGGAATACTTTGGTGCAATAAGATAATCTACTGTAAATAATCTTATGTTGAATCCTATAAATAAAAAAGACAGATGGGAAAAATAGAATACAAAGGTTGAAGTAAAGCACAAATAAGAGTAAAGTGCAAATACGAACTCGTAAGCTACGGATAAATAAAGTATATCTATCAGACAGAGTACATAAAGAAGAAGAATACAGGGACTAGGTTTTGTTTATCTATGCTGGGTGGTTTTGAAATTATATATCATTACGACTGCTTTACTAAGGCCATAAATATTATTTTCGTGTTATCTTTCGCCCGATATTACGAAACAAAGCAGTTTTTTATATCACCTAACTCACGCCCATCAACACACAGAAAACAGTGTTGTTGAGAGTTGTGTGAGGCTACAGATACTGGACGCATTTTTATTTTTGCAAAACCATCCTATCACATTCAAACAAACAATTTAGTCAGTCGTCAACACAGGAACAAAGCAATGTGTTGGTTAAAAATAGAGATAAGTAAGCTTTCAGGCTCTGACTAACCGAGCGAACAAAACGTGAGAATCACTTATTATCAGACATTCTAACCAGACACATCTTGAAGTAAACGTCGTTTCAGTGTTTAAAATTAATCAGTTTTGAAAAAAATACTTTTCTGCTTTGTTGATTTTTGAAAACTACCATTAAGTCAAGCTACATAACAGATCATAATTTAAGGTAAGTTGTTAACAACGTGTTATGCATATGTTAAAATACAAGTCTATTATTACAAGACCGTTGAAAACCTATTCTTTTTCCAACTAAATTCTAGCCCTTTTTGATACTGCTTCAATGCTTGTCAATGATGTCATACTGTATAATAATGAAAAAAATTGGATTATAAATATAATATTAAGGAAGTGAATAAATCGTATTATTGCAGTATGACAGCTCTCTCTCTAATGCAAAGTAATACTAACATTGAAATTTGTTATGTTTTTAAAATTGAATAATAAAGAATAGTGTTGATATTCTATATTGAAAATATTTACTTCTTTCTATAGGATTTTAACATTTTAATCTGGATTAGTTTAGTCACTTTCTTCTCGTGACTAATTAATAAAGCCAAATAGAAACCTTTTATTAAATGTTAATTTTAGTATTTATAGTAATTGATGTAGTTTATATTTCAAACGAATGAACTTCATTTATTTCTTCAGCATGCCTAAAATACAAGTTCATAGTTCCCGTATTCAGTACACTGACTCCTACATTGAAGCTGTCTATGGCTATCAGAACACTGAAGTTCGTATTCATGGAGACATATTCCACGTACATCCTCGCACCACCAAATTTACTTTCCGCACAAATCTGCAAGTCCCTAAGGTCGGGATTATGCTAGTTGGATGGGGAACTGAAACTGGGACAACAGTTACAGCAACCGTGTTAGCCAATAAGTTAGGTTTAATAAACAAAGATCAAGGAAGTCAGAGAGAACATGTAAATTATGTCGGATCAATTACTCAATCGACCACTGTGATGTTAGGCCTAACCAATGATGGAAATGAAGTCAACGTACCGTTGAAGGATTTGTTACCGATGGTAAATCCAAATGACATTATCATTGACGGTTGGGATTTGTGTTCTTTAAATCTATCCGAGAGTCTGGAGCGAGTTGAGACAATAAACAATGACCTAAAGCACCAACTTCATCACGAAATGAAGCAGATGAAACCTCGCAAGTCTATTTTAAACCGAGACTTTCTTCCGTCAAAGGAAAATATTATTGTAGATAATATAATCCCCGGTACCAGAGAAGAGCAGATGGCCCAGATTCGGAAGGATATTAACGACTTCAAAACGCAAAAACTTCTTGACAAAATCATTGTTGTTTGGATAGCCAATGAAGAAAAAAATAACGATGTCATTGATGGTGTAAATGATACAGCAGATAATCTGTTGAAATCTATTGAAAAGAACACTTGTGCAATAGCACCTTCAACCCTCTTTGCCGTTGCTAGTATTTTGGAAGGAGTAAGTACATTGCACATGAATTTTAATATCACATTCTAGAATGTATGAATGTTTAATAATATAGCAGGTAGTGATTGTTTGTTTGAAGTTAAGCTCAAAGCTACATAATGGGCTATCTGTGTTAGGTATCGAAACCCGGTTTATAGTGTTGTAAGTCCGCAAACATACCGCTGTGCCACCGGGGGGGGGGGGGCAGCAGGTAGTGACTGAGAATAGTTGAAAACTACCACATTTACATTCCATATTGTTTGTCTGGTTTCAAAAAAATTGTTAAAATTTAATTAATTAGCATAATATTATTTGTTGCAATTGAAGGAGGAAATATTTGCTCAAGCTCTTTGTTTCTTCTAGTAGTGCAAAATGAAAAATCACTTACAACACATAACCTTAGAGTTTAGCTCAGATTATTTTAAACATTTGTAGAAACAAGACAAAACATGATTATAGCCATGCTGCGATCTAAATTAACACAAATATATGCATCAGAGAATCACTGTTTACTCCGTTTCCATTTGCTGAGATATATCGGCTTCACCTTTGACATTACCCTCATTTTACCAAACTTTATAATTTGTTTAAATTAATGTTATACATTTGTGTCAAACTTCATTAACAAATGTTTAAATCTATCTGAATGTATTTCAAGCACGCTGTTACCAAGATGTTCAATTAATAAGACTAAAAAAGACAAAATCGACTAAAAAAGCGTAGCATTATGAACTAAAAATAGATTTAATTTCTTAGAGTATGACTAGCATGTAACACAAAATAAACATAATATGTATAACTTGGTTTGGAATATTTTTTTAATTGGGCCTGGCGGTCAGGGCACTCGACTTTCAATCTGCGTTTCGGGGGATCGATCCCGTCACCAAACATGCTCGCTATTTCAGCCGTGGAGGCATTATAATGTTACGGTCAATCTCACTATTCGTTAGTGAAATAGCTGTTTAAAAGTTGGCGGTGTGTGGTGTTGACTAGCTGCCTTCTCTCTAGTCTATCACTTCAAAATTAGGGACAGCTAACACAAATAGACTTGTGTAATTTTGCACGTAACTTAATTAACAAACAAACAAACAAAACATTTTTTAAGTATCCCAATGAAAATTAAATGGACCGTTTTTTTTGTTATTAAAATAACATTTATTTTGAGTCTGGGGGTTATGATTTGCGGCCCGTTACCGTAAAAACGCGCTCCCACATTGGGACCATGGGTGCGCTATCAGAGTGATTGTGAAACCTCATTATTAGGTTAGATGAGAATGGTCCAAGAGTCGGCGGTGGGTATGGATAAATAGCGGTCTTTCTTCTATTAAGTTAAAGTTAGGGACAGCTATGCAAATAAACTGTTTTGTAGCTTTTTGTAAAAATTCTGAAAAAACAACAACAACAAACAAACATATTTTATGTGTATTTATTACAATATTTATTCATGAGACTTCGCGTGGCGTTTATGAACATCCACAATCCAATTGTAACGTTGTTTTGTTATTATACTGGATACTTCTATTATGATCACTATAAAATTTATTAAAGTCATAAAGAGCTTTAAAGTTTAAAAGCAAGTTTTTCAAGATTGTTTACTGTTTTTTATCATAAATAACGATTATTAGTGGCCTTAATTTCCGACTCCTTCTATTCAGGTGACTGATAAACAATGCATGATCTGATTTTCTAAAACTAATACGGGTGTCCGAAAAGTGTGGAACCATAGAATATTTGCAGCTTTTCTTAATTTCAGTTACGTGTTAAAGTACGAGAAAGTCGATTTGATCCTGCTATTAATCCAAACTTGTTTCGAATTACAAGGACATCATGTGGAACACATTCTATAAAATTCATTTGAAGTGCCTTTGGTTCCAGACTTTTCGAATACCTTGTATTGTGATTTCTAATTCATATCATCCTAAAGTCTAATCAATAAAATTCACTTTTATACATCCAGATATTATTCCAAAATGGAGCTCTATTTGATTGATAGCAAATTCAAAAGAGTAAAAAAAACAAAAAAACAATGGGCTTATTTTATTTTCTGTTTTCAGAATTTCACTTCTCGCTTTAAAAATAACGAAAGAGAACGATAGCACGATGTAGTTATTACAAAAATCAGTAATTAAGTTCTGTCGGTTCTTGAAACTTTCCTTTCGAACTTACTATTAATATTTCTGGAAATATTTTGTCTTACAATTTTTGGATTAAATTAAAATTGTGTAACGTCTGTTGTATTTGCCTTAAAACATAAAGTGTTTTTTTGACGTATGTCACATTATTGGTTATGTTTTTGTGTATTGCGTGTAAAGACTAAATGATTTGCTTATAAAATAGTTTATAATTCAAATTTATTTCATGAAAACATATAAAAACTATAATTCATGGTTGTCTAAATACTGGAAGAGAAAAAGAAAGTCATTCTCTTTACATTATTATTTCTGATTCATATACAGAACCAAACAACACATACACATAAACATAGAACCAAACATCAGCTACAAAATGAGATTTGTTAAATGTCTTAGGAGTTTAGGTATCTGGTAACGTTCAAATATAATAAACTATCAAAACCCAAGTTTAAGAAGCGACTTATATGTAAAACAATCTTCACTCCCCAGTTCCTCCAATAAAAAAGCTAAATTCTATTCGTGACTTCTTTCAACATATTAAAGCTAGACGAATCTCCTTAGATATTGTTTTCGTGTTTACGCCTAAGAATTGGTTCTAAGAACGCAAACTTGGTTCCATTACACTTATTTTTAACATACTTGATATATTTTATTGAAAGAACTTAAGAGTACCGTTTCTTTATACTTGTTTGTTTATTGAATTTCGCGCAAAGCTACTCGAGGGCTATCTGCGCTAGCCATCCCTAATTTTGAAGTGGTAAACTAAAGGAAAGGCAGCTAGTCAACACCACCTAATGCCAACTCTTGAGTTCTCTAGTCGAATAGTGGGATTGACCTCACATTATAACACCCTCGTAGCTAAAAGGGCGAGTAAGTTCTGTGACGGGATTTGAACTCGCAGATTGCGAATCGAACGCCCAAATCACCAGGTCATGCTAAGCCTTGCGCAAAAATTCACGAATTGTATCTGTATTAGCAGCCCCTAATTTTGAGGTGATGGACTGGATAGAAGGCAGAGTCAACACCACCCACCGTCAACTCTTGGGATACTCTTTAGTTGCGAATAGTGAGATTGATAGTCATATTCTGACACTTCCAGGGCTGAAAAAAGCTATCCTGTCACCTGCAGATTGCAAATCGAGCGCCCTAACCATCAGGATATGCAGACCATATCTTTATATTTGTATGTATAAGAAAAATAGTCACATCAGTGTTACAATTGTTATTCTGACGACACTCGTTTTCACATAAATTACGATCTTTATTGGGAATCGTTTTCTTCCAATGATTGATTTGATGTTATATTTTTTTTTTAATTAGTTTCTATGTGAAGATCGTAATACCTAGTACATCGAACGTCAAAAAATACTAAGTATTTTTCTTATGAAACATTTGTTTTTCAGTGTTCTTTCATCAACGGCACATCGCAAAATACTTTTGTTCCTGGATGCATAGAGCTCGCTGAACGACACAAAGTTTTCATTGTCGGGGATAGAATCCAATCACTTCAGACATTAACCGAGAGTTCAATGTTGGACTTCCTGACATCCGCTGGTATCAGAGTGAATTCTGTGGTCCAGCAAAATAAGGTAGAAAAAAGCACAATTTTTTCAACCACTAACGTGCAATGCGGCGCAAATGACCATTACAAGGGAAACTTGGAGATGAACACAACAATGGGTTCTGGTACAGGACCTGAAGAATGCTCCTGTTCAGTAAGTAAAGGAACTCATGAAAGTTAAACTTTTTTTTTAATTAAGATACTTAGTTAGTTGGTTGATTGTTCGTAGTTAAGCACAAAGCTACACAAAGAGCTATCTGTACTCTGACCACCAAGGGTATCGAAACCCGGTTTCTAACAGTATAATTCCGCAGACATACCGCTCTGCCACTGGGGGGGGGAGGGAGAGATACTTAGATCCACATAAGTCGTGTATAAAAGGAAACGCCAAACATAGATACGGGAAATTAAAATTAGGGAAGTCTTTGTTTGTTTGTAATTAAGCATAAAGTTACACAATGAGCTATCTGTGCTGTACTCACCATGGACATCGAGACCCAGTTTTGATCGTTATAAACCATACGACTTACCGCTAAGCCACTGGAAGCTTGAGAAGTTGAGCAACCTTCCATGATGTTTTTATCCAGAACGCAATTAGTGAAAGGCATATAAAGTTGAAAGTTACTTGAAATTATTTTATTTTCAAAAATTATCAAATAAATGCAATTTCACTTCGAATTTAATAAACTCTGAAACAGAATGAACTGCCACGGAAATATTCCATTATAAAATTTGGTGTTGAATTTTATTTTATCGCATCGCTACACAATGTCCCTGTCTTCTGCAAGAAATCGCACCCCGGATTTCAGCGTTGTATTTCCGTAAACTCGCCACTGACCTACCGAGGAACTTATGACAAAGCAAGGGCCCCTGAAGAAGAAAGGTCCACAATTCGAAAACGCTCGGGTTATAGGACTTATATCGTTTTGTGTTAAGACTTCTTGATAAAACGAAATGGAGAACTGATGCTTTTTCCGCTTGCGATGTCTTAAACATCTGTCATCCCTTATACGAATTAAATATATACATTTAACTGCAAACGTCCAGCATTCATGCTTTGGTTAATATTCAGTTCATCCCCTTGAGAACGAAGGTTCATCCTTTGAAAGTGCTTAGTTTATGAGGTTTCTTGTTTTTTTTATTTGACTGTTATTTTATCTTTATCTTACGTCATTTTAATAGAAGTCAATATTTTTACTTTTCTTCTACTTTCAAATGCAAATCAATAATTATTTCTGCTATAAAGTCTCTTTAAATCAAAGAAACACGTTCAAGTTTCCAACCCAAATTCGTCGGCTCAAGATGGTTTCACAACCAATATTTTATACACGAAAAGAATGCTATAGTGTGACATTTCATATTGGACGTGATTGTCCAAGATTTCACCGTATACTGGATTGATCTTAGCCAAACAATGCTATTAAGAAGGTGGCCATGATCTAAGGTAAAAGTTGCACCTGCAAGTATATTTTTTCCTGTAACAATGCCTATTTAAAATGTGATGGATAATTTTGTATATTTTCGCAATGAGACATCACCAAACAAAGAACGTTAACGTGGAGTTAATTCATACTTGAAGTATGATTTGAGCTAAGCATGACTTTGGGGTGCACATATTATCTTGTTAAAGAGCTTCTGAGAGTTAATTGTAAAAACCTTATCTTCATCACTGATTTTTTTATATATACGTGAAAACAATGAAAATAAAGTACAAGAAAAAGCAATATAATAAATGTGTTTTGATGTCCCACTGTATATTTTGTTTCATCATTATATATTATATATATCATTCACTTTTTGAGACATCGAATTATATTTGTAAAGAGACAAAATTTTCCAATTTACAGTAATGGGTAAGTATGGATCGGATTCTTAGGGACTCTGGATAGGTTACATAGTGTATTCCACATAATAAGTTTGTGACAAATTTCAGCTATCCTAATTTTCTCAATGTCACCCTCTCTCTTTAAAATATCTTTATTTCTTGGACTAAAGGCTTTATTGTTGAGTTAGAGAAAATGTAATAATCTAACCAATGTTAATCTTTGTTATGAAGATTAGTGTATTGTAAATTAGTTTGTTTAAAAGTGATTTTTATGTCGATTTCCCATTGTAAACATGGAAAATAAATACTGATTTAACGTCTCTGGAGATAACAAAATGTTTTCAATTGTGCTGAATGTTTTACAGAAGGATGGGAATGTCCAAATTCCAGAGGTATTCAGTAGAGCCGAGTATCACTTAGAACTTGGAATCGAAGGTCTCAACACCATCGTTGTCTACAACACGTGTAAAGACTTCCTGCTGGCCAGTCCCATACTTCTTGATCTGATCATACTGACGGAGCTGTGCCAGAGAATTATTTTTCGAGTGGGAGACTCCCTTAAGTTCCAGTCTTTCAACAGTGTTCTGTCTGTTCTGGGTTACTTGTGTAAAGTTCCTCTAATGACCCGTAAGGCTCCCGTAATAAACACACTCTACAGACAAAGAAAGTGCATAGAAAATATTCTTCGGGCATGTTTGGGATTAGCTCCTGAAAATAACATGAGTTTGGAAAGTAAATTGAGCGATTCAACCGACTGGAATGAATCACAAGATATTATGCGTTCCCGCGCACAGAGTAAAATTGTTACTATGGACGACATTCGAGCGGTAGTGGGTAGCGTTCATAACCTCCCAAGTGGAGAAGTATTGGCTGGCAGTTTACATTAATGACGTTGTCAAAGCAACAGACAGTTATGGTTCTTTGGGCTGTAATTAATGAGACATGGATTGGTCATTTGATTACTGTTAAACACCTTTCGTGATCAATACCTCTAAATTCTGTTTTTAACACGAGTTATAGAATGAACTTATACCAAAATTAACATCATAAATAGAATACTTTTAGTAAAGTTGGGTAAAATGAACGTCATACAGTAATTTTTAAGTTGCTTCCCAATTCATATATATGTGATATGTTATAATAATTAGAACAAATCACAGGAAGTTTTGTGTAAAAAAAATGAACAAACCATAGTTTGTGCCTCATAAGAATATGTTTTATGATAAAAAAGATGGACAACCCACAGTTTCAAAGATCGTGATTCAGGACAGTATACGTGTTTTTAATAATAACATTTCAAACAGTGTTAATTTAAAGATAAATGTTCACATCTGACAAAGAAACGCTCTTGCACAATCACTTTAACGTTCTGTAGAAATATGAGGAATGTACTACGTATTGATATTTGGTTGACGTCATTTTGTTTCAGGAAGACCTTTCAATGTCACAACTGTCTTTCTACGAAATGAAATCGAATAATGTGAAATCAGTAAAAAATAAAATAAACTATATCTTGTGTTGCTTGAAATATTTCTACAACAAGACATACGTAATAACACACATTTAACTAATTACAGGGCCCGGCATGGCCAGGTGGTTAGGGCGCTCGACTCGCAATCTGAGGGTCGCGGGTTCGAATTCCCGTCACACCAAATATGCTCGTCCTTTCAGCCGTGGGGGCGTTATAATGTGACTGTCAATCCCACGATTTGTTGGCAAAAGAGTAGCCCAAAAGTTGGCGGTAGGTGGTGATGACTAGTTGCCTTTCCTCTAGTCTTACACTGCTAAATTAAGGACGGCTAGCGCAGATAGCCCTCGTGTAGCTTTGCGTGAAATTAAAAAAAAACAACAAATAACTAATTATCGTGGGATAATATCTTATGCAACAACTATTCCATAAATGTATAGGTTTATTGTATTGTCGATTGCGGATATTTACATCGTTTTATACGAGTTTTTGAAGAAAAGGTTTGTAAAATAATAAGTACCATTAAAATGCAACGAATGTCATAATGATCTTGGTTAATGATGCTTGATTCTACGAATTAATATTGTCGTGTTAACCCTTTGATTACCATCAGGGGTACATTGCTTATCCACAGTTAATACGATAAGTCATATTTGTTGCTAATATGGGTACATTCTGATCCAGCGTTTTAGACTCATTGATTAATTATTATTGATTGCTGTTGTTTTTCTTTTTCACCGTCATAGGTGTATCAATTATAATAATCCAGGGAAACATATTTA